GTCCAACTCCTACCCATTTCTATGATAAAATAGTGATATTTGTAGCGTGTTAGAGTAAGCTATGCTTTTAATGATTCTTATATCTAGGAACAGTGTTTTCAAAATCAGACCTGACTGGCCGGTTCAACTAGTTGACCCGTTGGTCGGCCTAGGTGCACCCTTAAACCCGTTACAATTGGAAAATCGGTAAAACCACCGGTTTGACCGGATTACCCACTGAACTTGATCCCAATGCAACAGATTGACTAGACTTGTTAGGCATTGAAAAAAGCTATGTAGAAGACTCAAGCAGAGGAGTATGTACTTTTCCACTAAGCCAACTTAGCTCTTTTGATATCTATAGTGAATGTATATTATTTATTGTATTCAACTAGTTTCCTCTCAAATATTATTACAATTAATATGTTTAGAAATAATATTAATATAAAAATGAATGTATAAATATATATTTGGTAAACATATTTATATAAATTATGGGTTGTCCATGTCAAGCGCGAACTTAGGTTGTCAAATAGGTTCTCAAGGTCAATTTTCAACTTCAATTAACACAAGTAACATGTTTTCTGCCAATGAGGTACATGATGGGCAAGCAGTACTGCGGATTTCTACTGCCGACTCTTGTAGACAGACAACTGTGAACAACATGAATCAATTATCTGCTCTTCCTTCTGGAGTTGCTATTTTGAAAACTGGAGCCATTAGTCCTGTTGTCCCTTCTAATGGAAAGCCTTTTAGAAGAGACTTGCCTAGTCATGCTTTGGCATCAGTGTCTGTTCTTTTGAAGATGTCAGCCGTTCCAGAGCATGAATATATTTGGCAGTAATTCCTCTTTTTTTTTCTTCGTTTTTTTGACTTGATTTCTTTTCTTAATTGAAAAACTGAAAGCATTGCTTTTTTTCCTTGGATTTATTTTTCGTTGGACATGTATGTGAAAGTATTCTGCTTCTTGAAAATGGCTTTTCTTGGGCTTATGTTGTTTGTACACAGAGGGGGTTTTGAGGTCCTCAAAAGAGGGAAACTGCCAGAGTTACATGATGGAATTCAAGCACATTTATCAACCTGTGCATCACCAAAAGTATTTGACGTGTTGAACAAGTTTCCTTCAAAAATTCTTTTGAATGAAGTACCTCGCTTTAGTATGTGGCCAGTACAGTTTCAGGAGACTGGTGTTAAAGAAGATAACATCGCACTCTATTTTTTTGCTAAGGATCTTGAGTGGTAACATTTGTTCTCTCTTTTGGTCAATTAAAATTGTGCTCTCTAATTTGTATTTTTTTCTCCTTTTTATTTTAATTTATTGTAATCTATCTCTCTATGTTGCTTGTGTGGCACAGCTACGAGAAAAGCTACAAGAGTTTGCTGGAGACAATGATGAAAAATGATCTTGCTCTTAAGGGAAACTTTGAGGGTGTTGAACTCTTGATATTCCCATCCAACCATCTTCCTGAGAAATCCCAGCGTAAGATATTAATCTTCTCATATATGCACTAACTTTAGAAATGTTTTAGAAATGGATTTAAGGCCATAGTGGCTCATTCCTAGGGCATGTCAAGGTGAGTCTCCTGGAAGACTACCAGTGAGGGTTGTTCTTTTAAGAATTGCAGTTTAAAGTGTAACAGGCCAACAGCTAATAAGAAACATCTTCATGCATTGAGGGCTTGCCTTTTCTTTAGGTGTGCCTTGCACACACAACTAAGAAATGGACTGCTAAAACCATACCTCAGCACTCTGGGGCTAGCTACCTGAATCCATTTGCTCCGACGTCCTTTCTAAGACAGTAATCTTATTTTAGCCACTACTTACTGCGTGTTAGATACTTGATGACTAGAAATCTTCTATTTATTTATAAGTTTTCTTTTCTGGTGACTGTGTAGCTTCAAAGTTACTAAAAGCTGATGGCGGCAAAATTGCCGTCATATTTACAAGGGTACTGGAAGGTTGACTAAACAAACACTCATTGAAAAGTTTTCTTCATGATGGCTTGTTTGAAAATTTGTTGGCCTTTCTTATGCTTCTGAATTTTATGTATGGAAATAATTTCAAAAAATCATTTTACTTGTGCGTCTTGTTCTGCAGTTGCAACTTGCCCCAAGGAAAAATGGGAAGGCTTTGCCTCTATGTTTCTTTTAAAGCCATGCTTTTAACTGTACGATTTTGATGATATATGGGGTATTTCACTTAAAATTCTGGAACGTTCTAAGTTTTGTTATCCACCATTGACAGGTTGGAATATGTTGTTCTTCCTTTGGGGTGTGTTCAGAGGAAAGAAAGTAAATTACTTGCAAAATGTGTCTGGTTCTCCAAAGAAGTATTTTATTCACAGAGATATGCCCACCGCCATCATGTCTCCTCCTGAGAACACAGGTTTACTTGGGCCTATAGATGGGAATTTACCTATGTTTTCCAAAGCTTGCAATGTGGCTCTATCATCCAAGTGTCCTGCCTTGATGGAATCACCCTGTTTATCTTCTGACACAATAAATGGGAATTGTGATACCGAAGCATCTTCTCTTGATCCAAAGGGTCAATGCCTTCAAGAAAATGTGGGGTGGCAAGACTGTAGGATAAAAACAACCAGTTCACTGTTATTCCAAGAAACAAGATGCACTAGTACTCCACTGGTAATGTAATTTTCCTCTCATATGGCTTGTCATTACCAAACATTTCCTCTCTCTATTGCTCGCTCTGGATGTTTCTACTATCTATTGCTTGATTCCATTTTAGAACACTGTACAGTGTGACATACTTGTTTGTGACCACTTAACAGCCCTATGGTTTTTCCTCTCAATTACTCCATATTCTTTGTTGTGCTATTTACAATGCATTACATTTGAGTATAGAGTTGAGTTCTAGCCATGTTTGACGGGGCTTATATTGAGTTTGCTGATGTGAAATAATTGAATTTAGTCATGTAAAGCATGTGAAACAAATTGAGAAATTCATGTAGAGCGGTCTTGGTCTTGCATGATTATGCATTGGTTTATTAGGGTCTTAGTTTTAACACTTCATGTGAGACTGAGTATGGGCTCAATGTTATTTTTGTAGGTAAGTTGTTACATATTCTTGTGTTAGCAGAAGTCTGAATTATAGTCCTTTCCCATTTTGGTGACATTCTTGTCGCATTTAAATCTTAAAATATTGACTATTTTTCAATCATGATTTCAATGAATGGGGAGGCATTATATTTTCTGGTTTTCAAAAATAATATTTAATGTTCATATATTCTCCCTGTAGGAAACAATTGTTGACCCCGAATGCAAACTGGATGTAAAACTTCAACCATCTGTTCAAACTGCTAGAAACACAACTGATTCCAAGAAAAGCAAGAAGATGCCAATGTATCCGGATAATCCCCTTGACATACAACAGATTTCGACTCGTTCTTTTGAGATAGCAGCTAGAGTGGACAGTAGTGAAGATCAGGTGATGTTTGAGAGTACTTTGAAGGAAGAAGAGGGATCTTTGGACACAAAAGCTGTACTGGAGAGAGACATGGTGATGAGAGATCAAACCATGAAGGGGCTCAACAATCGGCAGTTCAATTGTGGGAAACATCTGCATGAAGATCCTACGTGGACAGTCTCACAAGCTTCTGCTGGCATCAGTCAAAAGTCTTGGAGTGATGCAAATAGTGTGTTGCTTGATGGACAACGTGCAAGTAAAAAACAGAAAACTGGTTTATCTGGATTATTGGATGTGCAAACTCCCAAAAAAAAATCAAGTCCTTCAAGAGGGAGTTCTGTGTCTGGGACATATGATATGGGTACCAGTTCTTTAATGAAGGAGATAGGTGAAAAAGCTTGCAATGAAAAAGAAATCCTTAAGAACAAAGGAATTTCCGAAAGGTACTTCTTTCCTGTAGATGAACTTCCTGTAAAAGACTTGAGGTCAGGTGAAAACTCGGTCCCCTGGAAAGTGTTATCATCAGAAGATGATGTTCGGCTTCCTGATGTGACTCCAAGTCTCGAGCTTGCTTTAGGTGCAGAAATGAAACCGTCGAAACCGGGGATCCTGCCTTTTTTAATGGGGAAAGTGGACCTGAACGCTAGCCAGGACCAGCCTTGTGAGAATGCAGCAACCAAGGAAGAGGAGGGGGAGGAGGAGGATGTCTCTGCTTGTTTGTCACTATCTCTTTCGTTTCCCTTCCCAGATAATGAGCAAACTGCAAAACCTGTGTTGAAAGTGGAGCAGCAGCAGCAGCAGCTGCTGCCTGATCGGCGATATGTCAACAGTTCTCTGCTCTTCTTTGACAACTTCCCAGACAATAAGTAAGACATGAATAAGGTTGTGATGCCATTACCAACGCTGTATATGATAGAGAGATTCCCATGGCTGTGGGTGGTTGTAATGATGATCTTCCATGGGTTTTAGTTGGAGAGATTCCAAGACTCCATCTGTTTATATAGAGGCCAGGCCATACAGGATTTGTAATTTTTCCATCTTTTGTTCATCATCTTCTTGCCTTTGGTTTTTGTGCTCCATACTAGTAGTGATAATAGTAGTAGTTACAGCTGTTTGTACATATATAATATACAAGAGAATCAAAATCTGGAACAATTGCAGATGCCATGAGGGATTTCCAGACCAGTGTGGTGGTCATTAGGATTTCACATTCACCTTCCCTTTTTTAAAAAAAATATCTTTTTTATGTTTTTATTTTTGTTCTTACTATTACTTTTTCATTTGGAGCGTTTAGTGACTAGTAGTATGTGTAGGATAATAAAAGGGGATTTCTCTTTTATAATTTGACATTGTGGAAGCCAAGCCGCATTGCATTTGCATTTTGTAGCCATTGAAGATGGGGGGAGGACTTTTTCCTTGATTGGTGAGGAGGCTGTGTTATCCTGGCTATATGTTTTAAAAAAAAAATTAGTGGTTAGCAAACGCGATGTGTATGTAATTTAAATAAATAATTAAAAAATTCACTACACCTTGTGTACTATTCAAGTGGTAAAGAGCGTTAATTGATGTAAGGTCTTATTTCAAATTCCCTTTACTTTTCAATCTTTTGTTTTTGTTTTTGTTTTTGTTTTTGTTTTTTGTTTTTTTTTAATAGAGAAATGAGAAACTTCGTATAAGGAGAAGCAAACATTTTAAGACACCAATTGAAGTCTTTGCATACAATAGTATAGAAGTATATATATATGTAGATAGCATAGATATATATAGGGCATAATAATATAATAGCAGCTAAAGAAGTGGGCATCATCGTAGTGAAGCCATTTTTTAGTGGGATCTGCTTTGGGTCAGGCACCAACACGAGCATCAAAAAAGAAAGAACATAGCAAGTCTAAAATTTGGTTAACAAGTTGTTTTACTTTTTAAGGCTCGTAATTTTACTTTTAATAGAAGGATTTTCTTAAGTGTATCTTGTATATGGTATGTAAGGTATTTATATCTTTCTATGTTATCTTTATACTTTTTTGGATATTGAGTTATACCTAAATATTTGAAAACTAACACATTGGTGGCCTGCTTTAGCAGGTTGTCAATAGGTAAATGAATAAAAGAATATATTATATGACTAAAAGTATAATTTTGTTAGAAAATGTGTAAATAATTTCACAAAATGTGTAAATTTTTACAGAAGGCGTAAATTTTAACAAAAGGCCTAAGTAATTTCAGAAAAAGGCGTAAGGGATTTTTGAAAATTTACACCGTTTTTGAAAACTTACTGCTTTTGTGAAAACTTACACCTTTTGTGAGAACTTAAACTTTTTTGTGAAAGTTCTTACACTTTTCTGACAACTTACAACTTTTGTAAAATTGCTAACTAAAGGCGTAACTTTTGACAACTTACACATAATACTTACATCTTTTGTAAAACAAGTTATACCTTTTGTCAAAATTACACCATATGTGGAACATTTTATTTCATAAAATTTTGACAACTTACACATAATACTTACATTTTTTATAAAATAAGTTATACATTTTCTGAAAGTTACACCATATGTGAATGACAACTTACACATAATACTTATATCTTTTGTAAAACGAGTTATACCTTTTCTGAAAGTTACACCATATAAATTTTAGCAAAAAATATAAATTTTACGATTTTTTTTTTTTTCACAAAAGATATGAGTGACTTCAGAAAAAAGTTTAAGTTGGGCTTTCACAAAAGGTTTATGTTTCAAGAAAATGTATAAATCTTATGACAAAAATTCTTTCACAAAATGAGTAACTTTTCCGCCACGGTGTAATTATTTTCACGAAAAGGTGTAAGTTTAGAAAATGTGTAAATTTGATGATTTTTTTTTTCACAAAATATATAAGTGACTTGAGAAAAATGTTTAAGTTTGGCTTTCAGAAAAGGTGTATGTTTCAAGAAAAGGTATAAATCTTATGACAAAATTTTTTTGACAAAAGGAGTAACTTTTCGGCATGGTGTAAATATTTTCACGAAAATGTGTAAGTTTTAGCAAAATGTGTAAATTTGATGAATTTTTTTTTTCACAAAATATATAAGTGACTTGAGAAAAATGTTTAAGTTTGGCTTGCACAAAAGGTGTATGTTTCAAGAAAAGATATAAATCTTATGACAAAAATTCTTTCACAAAAGGAGTAACTTTACCGCAGCGGTGTAAGTGTTTTCACAAAAAGGTGTAAGTTTTAGCGAAATGTATAAATTTGATGATTTTTTTTTCCACAAAATATATAAGTGACTTCAGAAAATTGTTTAAGTTTGGCTTTCACAAAAAGTGTAAGTTTCAAGAAAATGTATAAATCTTATGACAAAAATTCTTTTACAAAAGGAGTAACTTTGCCGCAGCGGTGTAAGTGTTTTCACAAAAAAGTGTAAATTTTAGCAAAATGTGTAAATTTGATGAATTTTTTTTTCACAAAATATATAAGTGACTTCAGAAAAATGTTTAAGTTTGGCTTTCACAAAAGGTGTAAATTTAAATAAAAAGTATAAATTTTATGGAAAAAGTAATTTCACAAAAGGAGTAACATTTCAAAGTGTTCATAAACACAAAAGGAGTAACATTTCCAAGTGTTCATAACCACAAAAGGAGTAACACTTCAAAGTGTTCATAAACAAATTGGGACAACCACTGAACAAATCAAAGGGTTCGTGACCCCCGCTGACCACCCGAGCGTCGGTGGCCTCCGGTGCTCACTGCCGTCGTCACCTCCACGGCCACCGCCGCCTCCACGGCCACGGCCACTTCCATGGCCACCGCCGTCGCAAATCAAAGGTTTTTTTCTCTCTGGCTATCGATCTTGGTCTCTCTCTGTCGATGTCAGCCGTCGATGTCGGTCTCTCTCGGTCTGTCTCCAACGATCTTGGTCTGTCTGTGTCCATGTGGTCTCTTCTCTGTCGATTCGGTCCCTCTCTGTCGATCTCGGTCTGGCTGTCTTTGTCGATTCGGTCCCTCTCTGTCGATCTCGGTCTGGCTGTCTCTGTCGATTCGGTCCCTCTCTGTCAATCTCAGTCTGGCTGTCTCTATCGATCATTGTCCATCTAGGTCTCTGTCTGTTAATCTCAGTCTATCTCTCTCTGTCTGTCTGTTGCTCTATATTTAAAATGGTTCTCTTTTACATTGACATTCTTCGTTGGATTTGGACTTGGAGTCGCTATTCCAAGCCCTCCCAAACTCGTCTTCTCTGAAACGGACTTCTACTGAGAGAAAGACCAAGCCCTCCGAAACGCCCTTCTCTCTCACATTGCCATTATTTAAAGAAAACAAATATAGTTTGATTGGATTTAGGAACTTACAAGTTTTGCGAAGTTACTTATATCTCCCGTGAAAACACTTACACTATTTGTGGAAGGTTAAACATTTGTGAAATGATTTATTTTTTAAAATTTACACATTTTCATTGAAATACTTAAACTTCCTGTGAGAAGTATCTTTTGTGAAAAAAAAATTGATGAAATTTACACATTTTGCCTAAACTTACAGTTTTTCGTGAAAAAACTTACACCGTTACTGGAAAGTTATCCTTTTGTGAAAGAATTTTTGTAATAAGATTTATACCTTTTATGAAACTTACACCTTTTCTGAAAGCCAAACTTAAACCTTTTTCTGAAGTAACTTATATCTTTTGTGGGAAAAAAAATTCGTAAAATTTATATCTTTTGCTAAAATTTACACCTTTTTGTAAAAGTGCTTATATCTTTTCTGAAAAATTACCCATTTTGTAAAATGATTTTGAAATTATTGTAAGTTTAAAAGGCGTAAGTATTATGTGTAAGTTGTAAAAAAATTTATATCTTTTGTAAAATAAGTTATACTTTTTCTGGAAGTTACACCATAGGTGAATGACAACTTACACATGATACTGATATCTTTTGTAAAACAAGTTATACCTTTTTCTGAAAGTTACACCACATGTGAAAATTTTTATTTCATAAAATTTTGTCACTTACACATAATACTTACATCTTTTGTAAAACAAATTATATTTTTCTGAAAGTTACACCATACGTGAATGACAACTTACACATAATACTTACATCTTTTGTAAAACAAGTTATAACTTTTCTGAAAGTTACACCATATGTGAAAATTTTTATTTCATAAAATTTTTATAACTTACACATAATACTTACGCCTTTTGAATTTTTTGACAACTTACACATAATACTTACGCCTTTTGAACTTACAATAATTTCAAAATTATTTCACAAAATGAGTAATTTTTCAGAAAAGATATAAGCACTTTCATGAAAAGGTGTAAATTTTAGCAAAAGATATAAATTATATAAATGCTTTTTTTTTTCACAAAAGATGTAAGTGACTTCAGAAAAAGGTTTAAGTTGGGCTTTCAGAAAAGGTGTAAGTTTCATAAAAGGTATAAATCTTATTCCAAAAATTCTTTAACAAAAGGAGTAACTTTTCAGCAACGGTGTAAGTTTTTTCACGAAAAGCTGTAAGTTGAGGCAAAATGTGTAAATTTCATCAATTTTTTTTCCACAAAAGACATAAGTGACTTCAGAAAAAGGTTTAAGTTAGGCTTTCAGAAAATGTGTATGTTTCAAAAAGGTATAAATCTTATAACAAAAATTCTTTCGCAAAATGAGTAACTTTTCAGCAACGGTATAAGTTTTTTCACGACAAAGTGTAAGTTTAGGCAAAATCTGTAAATTCGATGAATTTTTTTGTTCACAAAAGATATAACTGACTTCAGAAAAAGGCTTAAGTTTGTCTTTCACAAAAGGTGTATGTTCGAAAAAAAAATATAAATCTGACGAGGTAAATAGTTTCACAAAATGAGTAACTTTTTAGAAAAGATATAAGCACTTCCACAAAATGGTGTAA